AGCTGATAGTTGTCAATCTAGGGCATCTCACCAACACTGAATGGAATGGCTTTTTCCCTTCAAAGACACTTTGGGGGGTTTAAATGATCTTTTTGACTGGTAACAGAAATCATGGAGCTTTGCAAATATTCAACTACAATAAGCGTCTCCTGCCTCTACCGCATTCCTGATTTTCTTCTATTGACGGGAATCAATAGTAGATTTTATGAGGAAACAGATAAATATATCTCGAGCTAACGAGTGGTAAATGGCTCTTCAGAGCAACCTGGCCTCACAAATTTCCACTTGTCTCTGCATTTTCTTTTTTTTTTTTTTATAAATATTCAGCTAAGCTTGTTATCCCGCTCACCTTGAACGTATCTGAAATCTCCAACCTCTCTTCAATGTGTTCTCAGCATTTTGCAATGTCAGATGTTGCTTCCAGCTGTAAGAGAAATTATCTTTTATACTTCTTTAAAGTAACAGCAATTTAGAGCATTTACATCTGCAGAAACAGTAGCTCCTCGTGGAGTCCAACACCCAAGAGGTGCTTGTTTTTATACATTACTGGGCGATATCAAAGGCAGCATTGTGGGGTAGTTAATGATCGCCTTTTCATGTCAGTTTTTAAATTTTTGTGTAGTGTCTTTATTATTCATACCAATCTGTCTTTTAGATCATCTTCCATAGACACTCCAGATTAAATTTTCTTCATTATCATTATAGAACTAGATGAATAAGTGGCACATCTGTTCATGAAGTGGTTTATTATCTATTCTGATGAGGTTTTGGATGAATAGCGGAATGACTTAAATATGGAGCAGAGAAACGCGTGCAGGTTTATGCATAATCTTAAATTCATAACCAGCAGCGCTAACTTGAGGAATTTGATTTTATACGGAAGAGGTAATTATTAATTAATGATCTAGGCCAATTTATCACGAGGGCCAACTTAATGAAGGGACAAGACGAGACAGAAAACAAACCTGCCCGTGAAATAGCGCTAATGAAGACCCGCGCATTGTTTAACCGGTTCTCATTCCCTCACTGCAAAGGAAAACTCTATAAATATTTTATAAACACACCACTCCAGCCATGTAAAACCAGATTGCACCAATAAATCTATTTATCCAGAAGTTATTTCCTAATTTCTTACAGCTGCATCATTTACAAAGGAGGACGCTGATCATTTGTCTATCAGAGGCAAAAGGCTGAATTTTCCACACCCCGACGGTCGTGGCGGTTTCCCCACACGCTCCCACATTGCCAAGCACACACGATCCCCTTCGCCTCCCGGTCTGGTTGTCCCACAGGGACACGGAGCCCAGGACAGACACGGCTGCCAAGGTTTTCCAGCTGCAGGTCAGGCTCCCTTTTGGAGGGAATATTTTTCTCTTCCCCACCTCAACTGTTGCTTGAAGTGCTGGAGGAAGATGCCCCGGTCCCAGCTGGGTGCCAAGGAGGGAAGGGACCGGAGGGAAAACTGGAGTCTGGGCAAAAAGCTTCTCCACTTGGCTGCACTGAGCGCTGTTTGTTGCCCTGAATGTCTGATGAGGCGCTTTATTGTCCCTCTGCAGATGAGGTAAAACGAGGCATCAGATTCTTACATGATCTTTATATGTTTATTCTGGGGTTGTGAAATGTGAGTGGATCACATGTAAAATATGAGTCCATGTCAGACGGAAGAGTTGCATCTTGAGCTCCAAGTGACAAATCACTCGAGCTGCAGGAGCTGTCACGGTATGCAAGGTTGCCAGGAACAATCAATGAAATTATAGCCTTGTACTACATGGTTGTTTATCTGCTATTATGGAAATAAGGTACCATCAAAACTGTTGAAAAAACTTGAGGATTACAGTATGCACAATTTGGGGATATGACAGCAACATTTAATCATGTTATTCTGACAGGTTCTGTTTAAAAAAAAAAAATAAAAATCACAAAATTCTACTGTTGTTGCCTGCATATAGCTGAAAGGGTGGCAATTAATGTTATTTGTCAGCTGTTGTGGAAGAACAAAGCTGGAATAACGCAGAGTGTCTCAGAAAGCTGAAATCCCCAGAGCAGCTCAGGTAATACAACAAATGCAAGGATGCTCGCTATTAATACAGCTCCTGCCAAGCACAGGTGCCCATCAGGTAAGGATTTCCCTGGATCTCCCTGGAAGTTTCCCTGGAAAGAAGAACACGGCAGGCAAGGGGCGCCGGCCCCGCTCCGGCTCCGGAGTTCTCATTTAACTGAGAAAAAAAATGTTCAGCTAATCCCACTTGCTGTCTAGAGCTATGTGGAAATATTTAACTTCTGTCTGAAAATACGTAAGGAAAGTTAATTTCATATATCATTTCAAGAACGGATCATTTTACACTCAAAACTCTCTGCTGTTAATAAGGCATTAAGTGCTTCATTTTGGGCTTGAGCTCAGATCTGGGAGTGCAGAGGCATTCCCAGCCTCCAGGTGCAGGCCTGGGGAATCTCTCAGTTACACCATGTTAGTATTTTTAGAAAATTATATTAATCGAATGAGTACATTTTCAAAAATAATGCAGAAAAAGCATTTTTCCCCCAAACTGTCCTCGCACCACACCGTTGCCTATGGTTTGTTTTGAGATGCTTTGCTTTTCCAGATTTTGCAAGGGAAAAGATCTTTCCCAGGGCTTTCATGAAGAGGTATGTTTGAACCTAAATTGCTGTTGTAGTAATTTAAAACTATTTTTTTTAAAAAAAGTTTCACATAGATTATCTTTAGACCATTGTTTTTGTGATCCGTCATACCGGCAGATACTGTACTGAACATTTTTGTCTACTTCTGAAGATAGTATCAATCACCTCTGTTCTTGACAAGCCCTAAGGAAAAGAACATTTATCAGCATCTATTAGAACAGTCTAAAAAAAAAAATTCCAGAAATGACATTTTATAGAGAGAGTATGATCTGGTTGGAAAATAGCAGAAGCTTGATGTTTTCCCTCAAAAATCCTGTGCTGTCTCCTTATATAGTTGCTGTCATCACAGCATCCACACGCCTCACTCCTCTTATTTTAGGAGATCCTTTTTATATATTTTCACGTCAGCCCCATGAGGGAAGATTCCAAAATGGGAGAGCATGGCACAAAACCTACGCTCAGCACTGAGCCTACAATTTTCTGTTGGCTCCTGCCCCTGAGTCCCCAGAGCCGAGCGCTGAGCAGCGCCCGCGCGGTGCAGGGGTGTGAGGGGACGGTGTCCGGGGG